AGCCCAGCGCCTCCTTCTTCTTGCGGTTCCAGTCCCGCGCGAACTTGCTCGTGCCCGGCTGGAGCCCCTTCTTGATCTGCGACAGGTTCTGCTTGCCCATCTGCTTCAGCTCCCCGCACTCCATCGCGAGTGAACGCATGTTCTCCCGTGCGATGCACCCGCACTTGAGGCAGTAGTGCAGGCCGAGCTCCTCGTTGTAGTTCAGCTGGTGGGAGGGGTGCGCCCTCTGGTGGCCGACCTGCACACCCAGGGACACGGCGCCGAACTCCGACGCCTGCTCGCGCACCAGCTTCACGCACTTGCCCTCCAGCCACTTGTCTGTGTCCGCGCCAACGACAGGCACCAGGCTCCCGCACCGCGTGCAGCGGAACTGCTTGCCGTCGTTGACTTCCTCGATCACGTGCTGCGTGTTGGTGAGGCGCTCCTTCCTCCTCTGCTTCTTGAGGTACGCCTCGTGGCGCTGTGGTCTGCTTGGCGCCATCGACGGCTCCACTTCGATCGCCGCCATCAGCGTCGCGTATCCCCTGCTCCTGATCAGCGAGGCGACCCCGTCACACCAGCCGACCCTGAGTGCGTCTCCGCGCGCCACCTGCACCCGCTCGATGATGCCGTCCACGAAGCTGTCCGCTAACGAGTTGCCCAGGTAGCTGATCGGGTCGATGCCTGCCGCCACTGCCTCGACCGCGGACATGTGGCTCTCGACCTTGATCATCCACAGCTCTCTACCGACCATGGCCACCTTCAGCTCGTTCCATAAGTCGATGTGAGTCTTGGGCATCTTCCCTCTGCGTAACTTCTCGACCCCGCGCATGACGTAGGACGAGTCCGCAATGTACTGCACTCTCTTGTAGTTGGCGGTGGCCACCATCAGCTCCTTCAGCGCCGTCAGCTCGCCGCGGTTGACGCTCTGCCGCCAGCCACCCAGAGCGGCACGCGCTCCTGCCACCACCATCGGCTCGTTCACGTTTTCTGGCTGCATCACAACCCAGCCCCATGCCACCCGTCTCAGCCTGGGGTCCATGGTGCACTCGCCGCCCGATGCGTCGCCTGCAGCAATGAGCCAGCCTCCGTCGTCCACAGGGTTGGCCTCCCCCAGGTCGGTACTCCCTGCCCTCCATTGCCAAACGGGCTGGGAGGGTGGGCGGTGCGTGCCTGAGGGGGCAGTGACCCTGAGACGTTCCAGGTTGCCGAACTGCTCCCACATCTCTGTCCCTGGCTCAGGCGGGGGTGGGATCTGCGTCCAGCTCTTCGGCAAAATGCCTCTGAGCCACAGGCACGGCACCTCCTCGACGCCCCTCACGGCCTTCTCCTCTAGGTGCTTGGACTTCTGGCACTCCTCGATCAGCTCGTTACACTTGCATTCCCACATGCGGTGCTGCCAGGTCTCTGGTGCTTCACCACAACGTGGGCACGTGACATCCTCGATGTCCAGCCCGAGATCTGCCACACGCTGCCTCGGCCAGACTCCGCCCGTCAAGCACGCCAAATGCGCGCCGACCTTGTCATGCTCGCCCTTCCTCTTGAGCTTCTTGATGAGCGACCTCGCTGAGCGCATGTCCGCGCCCGCCTCCATGCCGCCTCCCGCGTAGTGCTTGGCCGCCTGCTGCCACTGCTTCCTCTCGATAGTACTGGCGACCGCCTGCTTCAAGTCGCTGGTGTCCACGCCGCCGTCGAGCGCCGAGGGGTCGTCGCTGCCGAACTCCTCGCCGTCGTCCGAGACCCAGTGCCACGGCCCCAGCATGGACCAGCCCAAGTCCAGCAGGGTGTTGACCATTGCCCTGGTGATGCCCGTCACACCCTTCCAGCGCTTCTTCGGGTCCAGCTTCGACACCTTCTCGACGATCCGCGGCCAGATGATGCTGACCTTCTGCCTCCTCAGCTTGTCGCTGATGATGTGCATCCAGGAGTCCAGCAGCGCGAAAACGGCTCCGAACGCGGGGTCCCCCTTCGCAATCTCGATGCTGAGTAGCGTCGCGAGGCACCTCCCCCGCAGCCTCGGGGCGATGGTCGCTGCTAGCCTCCTCCTCCACTTCAGCACGGTGCTGGGTGCCATCCCGAACACCTTGCACGAGTAGGCGGCGCGCGGCAAGGACCCGCGCTGCACCACTGCCCGTGCGCCGCCTCTGGCGCGCCTGCCACTGCGCGCCATCTTCAGGGTGCGCGCTACTTGTCTGTCTGCATGCGCCACCCTCCTCGCGTGCTTGCCCTTGCCGCCCGCGATGCTGTGGCCTCGGTCGATGCCCAAGTCGGGCGCTTGACTCCTTACCTTCACCGTTATCATGCGCGCCCTCAGCTTGAGGGCCACTTCCTTCACCACGTCCATGTCGTTGCCGATCAGCGCCGACTTGGTGGAGAGCGTCAGCTTCGACTTCTTCACTCCAGCTGCGAACTCCACACCCGCGCCCGTCAACTGCTTGATCACCTCCTTCTTGGAGCCCTCCATCCTCGTCGTGACGTCGTCGACCCACGATCGCACTCGCACCTGCTCGTACTTCGTGCTCACCCGCTCCAGCACGGCGTAAAGCGCAACCCTGCCGAAGTCGATGCCCCGCCTCGCGCCCGCGCAGATGGACCTGTCGGGCGCGATCGGCTCTGCGTAAGCCGTCCTCTCTCTGATGAGGCGCGCACTTAGGTGGCTCAGCATCTCCAGGTGCAGAGTGCGGGCTGGAAGCCCCAGCCTGAGCCCCTCGTCCAGGATGAGGAGGGGCTCGAGAGTGTCGTAGAACTCCGCCAGGTCCCACAGCGCTGTCACCGAGTAGATCTTCACTGGCATCCACTCTATCACCTCGTCGGAGAAGGAGCGAACCAGGGCCTCCTTGAGAGCGCTGTTCCCCGCGATCGCTGCATCCCACTTCCCCGCCATGGCGACGACCCACTCGTTGGTGAACTCGCTTCGCACCTTGGACCAGAGCTTGACCACTTCGTGCAGCAGTCCAATCGCCCTGTCTCCTCCTGCATCCTTGCGCAGCAAGCTGACAAGCGTGACCATCAGCTGCCACGGCCATGTACCAGTGCGCTCGACCTCCTCGATGATGATGCGCAACTCCTCCCTGGCTTCTGGGGGCAGCCACTTGAAAGCCAGGGCGTCCATCTGCTCTACGCCCTTCGCCTTGCTCTTCGCCATCGTGTCGATGGCAACGTTGAGGCTCTCGATAGTGATGGGCGCCCAGTCCTCCTCCATGGCCGCCTTGCGAGACTGCTCCAGGCGCTGCAAGATCGCCTGCGTGCTGAAGTTGCTCTTCCACTTCTTGCTCCACACCGCGCCCTTCGCGTCCATGTACTCCACCATGTCCGATGCGGTGACGCCCTGGCTGCGCACCTCATTGTCACACCTCGGCTTGTCTTTCGTCTTGCGGTGCAACTTGCCGCTGCCTGCCGCTTCCTGCTCCTGCACCCAATTCGTGTAGGCCAGCAAGGCTTCGCCAACCTCCGTGCGCTTACCCTTCTTCGCTGTGGTGAGCGCGGCCACGCCGAGGTGCTGTACTTGCACATTGGACATGCCGTGTATGCCGCTGAGAGCCACTCGCCACTTCCTCTTCTGTTTCGCCGTCATCTTGATGATGCCGCCACTAGGCATCGTGCTGCTGAGTGCTCTGCAGTCGTCACGTAGCCGCTGTGCTCGTTGCCCCTTGCCCTCGCAGCGCTGCAGCTCGACCAGGTACGACGCCAGCGTGCCCCACCACCTGATTGACTGATCCAGGTCGGCGCTGACGCCGATGCCGGGCTTGGTCTTGCCCTTCTTGAACCTGACCTCCTCGCCGCGCCCGAGGTAGATGCTACGCTCCTCGGCCTTGATCTGTAGAGACGACATGTAGTACTGCTCCACCGCGTGCACCCAGGCGCCGTAGCGCGCCCCAAGCTCACGTGCCCCCTCCTCGTCGAAGGTGTAGGCAAGCGTCTGCTTCACGTACTGCGCTGGCTGCCTCCAGGCGATGCGGTCCTCGGCGACTGCCGTGCGGTACTTCACGTGCCACAGGAGGTTGCGCTTCTCGATCTCCAGGTCGAAGATCTCGTCCGCCTTCGGCTCGGCGACAGCTTCCTCCGAGGCCTCCTCATTCTCGCTGAGTATCCCGTCCTCGTCGCTGCTCCCGCCGAAGAGCTCCGCCAGCTCGCTCTGCTGCTGGCACTCCTGCGGCACCGCCTCGCAGACGACCACGTCCTTCTTCCGCTCGCCTCGATCAGACCTGGGGAAAGAGGGCTCCGAGGAGGGCGGGGCCTCCGCATTCCTCGCAGCGCTCAACGCACCTGCCTCGTACTCGCTCTGCTTCTTCGCCTTCTGCCTGGACCGCTTGCTGTTCGGGTCCGCCTTCCGCTTCGGCATATCTGGCAAGGGAAAGGGCTTCGCGAGCTGCAGGTTGCGCTGCATCGCGATCCTCGAGTCTCCCCTCAAGTGGACTCGTACGCCGTAGTGATCTCCAGGGTCATGGCGATCTGCATCAACTCTATCCACGATCATCGAGAACGTCTCCGAGCACACCACGTAGTCGAGCATGCGCGCAGGGTTGCGCGTGCACGTGTAGCTGACGTCAGCTGGCGTGATCACCTTCGCGTCGAGCAGTCTTATCCACCCTGCCGCCTGGAGCTCCCTCGGCTCCGCATTCCAGTCGCCGATCGCAGCCCACGGCCCGCTGTGGCCGCGCGCGAGCGCCGCGAGGCGCGCCATCTTCTGGTGGTTCTCGCCGCTCATGCCGATCGACGACGTGAGGTACATGCCGATGACCAGGACCGACTGCCCGCGCCACCGCCACTGCGCTGCTACCATGTCCTGGAAGTCGATCGGCCCTGGCTCCCAATCGCCGTCCAAATACCGCAGCCCCACTGCCTGCTCCTTCTTCGCTGCCAAGTGTCGCATAGACGTCACTGACAAGAAACCTCTCATGGCCATGCCGATGCCGCCTGCCAACTCACTCCGCTTGTTCTTGACCGACGGCGTGACCACCGCCTTGAAGCCCCTGAAGTCCAGGTGCTCGACGATCTCGTTCGTGCCGTCGGCGCCGACGTGCGTCTCAGGGAAGATTATCACGTCGTCCCTGAGCGAGTCGATCTTCTTCTTCAACCTGGGCCCCCAGGTCGACAAGTTCTGCATGAAAATCGCATGGCTAGGAGCTCGCCGTACCCCTTCGCCCAGCTGCGTTTGCGACCCTTGCGGCCTCGACCGCTGCCGCCAGCTCGCGCTTCTCCTTCGCCTCCTTCTCGGATAGCGCTGCTGCTTCGGGCGCTGCCGCTGCTGCTGGCTGTGCCGCTGCTGGTGGAGCCCCACCCACTGCAGCTGCAGGGGGTCCGCCTGACGCTGGCGCTCCTCCCGATGCTCCAGTTTCAGCTCCGTCATGTTCAGACTCGGCTGCGTCCGCTTTGCGCTTCTTCCGAATCCGATCCAGGAACTCCTGCTCCTGCTGCTTCTGCTGCTTGAGTGTAGCTGCCGCCTGTGCGAAAGCCTCCTTCGCCGCTCCCTTCGCGGCCTCCAGGAAGAGCTTCTTCCTCTTCTCGAGCTCCTGCTTGTCCGCCTCCGAGATGTTGTCGTCGCTCGCGCACTCGAAGAGGCTGCCCAGGTCGACGTCGATCTCCTCGTCCTCCAGGAGGGCGCCCAGGGGCAGCACGCGCTGCTTCTTCGCGTTCTGCGCCCCGTCACACTTGAGGTCACCTCCGAGGGGATGTCGCTGAAGTTCGATTTTGACCTCTGCCTCTGCCGCCGCCACTTCTGCACTGCGCTGCTTGAAGTCATCCTCCGCTTGCTTGAGTTCTTCTCGAAGCCTTTCTCGGCGGCGATAGGCCTTCGTTTGCGCACTCTGTGCCTTTTGTACTCGATCTTCTGCTGCTCTGAGCGCCTGACGGGATCCAGGCTGTGGATGCTGAACTGCTGGTGGATGTGGTGCTGCCTCTGCACGTAGGGCCTCGATCTTCTGCTTCCAAGCGCCGTCACCTGCCAGTGCTGCTGCTTGTGCGAGAAGTTCGGCCACCTTGTCATCCTTGCCGCCGCCTCCACCACCAGATTGATTTCCGTAACCTCCTGGCCGCTGTAGATCACCTCCTCCTCCAGTACCCTTGCGCCTGCCTTTGCCACGCCCTGCTCCGAGGATTGGCCAGCCCCAGTCGTCGAAGCCTCCGTCACGTTGTGAACGATCTGGTGCTCCTCCTCCTGATGGCTCCGCCCCCCAGCTGCTGGCGCCGCACTTGCACTTGAAGTCAGCGTCCGCGAGCCTGTCCATGAACAGCCAGGCGCAACACTGCTGACAGAATGCCTTCCGCCCTCTCTCCTGCTGTCGCCAGGGCCACACCTTTGCCCATGGACGCCGTACGAAACTGCCGCACTCGCCACCACCACCGCCGCCAGGAGCCATGGGAACGATGGGATCGGCCTCGGCCGGGATATGAAGCTCGACCTCGCGGGCGCGAGGAAGGCGTGATAGCTTAGTCCTTCTAGCTGGCCCTGGACCAAGGGTCTCCGTGCTCTGCCACGGGCAGTGACCATCTTGAGCCAAAATGGCTACGGACACAACGACGACGACGACAACGACGACGACAACGAAGACGACGAAGGAAAGAAGGAGGGAGGGAGGAGGGAAGAGGGAGGAGGGAGGAGGCGGCGGCGATCTCAGCGTCTGTCCACAGGGCTGTTGCTGCTTATCGCTGGGTCACTTGGGGACCTAGCGGGCAAGGGCTGGCTTATGTCCCCTTAAGCTGGCTTTGATGGTGGAGCCGCGGCGCCAATCCACGTGCAGATTGAGGCTGCTCGCGGCCCACGGGGCCACGCGCAGGTGCCTCCTGCGTCGGGTTTCTGAATTGTTCACGTGATCCTGCATTGCTGGGCCTCGGTCAAGGCAGGGCGACGAATCATTGCACCGACCTTGCAAACGTGCTACAGCGAATTGTTGTGTGGATTTCCGTCTACGCAAAATCCAGACACAGCGAGCGAAAAACGAAGCTAATTTCACTTCGATTTTCGCATCGCCATCTGCACTCCTGACAGGGATATATATATATATATATATATATATATAAAAAAAAAAAAAAAAAAAAAAAAAAAAAAAAAAAAAAAAAAAAAAAAAAAAAAAAAAAAAAACTCCAGGCCCATTCCACTGTTTTCCGAACGAAATCTGCTCTGCCACGTTGGCGCCATGAGAAGGGGCGGCGAGGGAGGCGGAGGGGGGGATCCGATGACCTCAGCGACGAAGGGGGTCAGCGTCTGCAGCCAGCGCATGTCCACCATGAGGAGCTGCGGCCAGGATGGGCGTTTGGGGCGTTGCGGCAGCATGACCGGATTGGCCATCAGCGCGAAGGCCCGCGGCGGCCCCCCCTCCCTTGGAGCAGCTCGCCGAGGAGCCGCACCCCTTCCACTTCGACGAGTTCGGTAGGCCTCGTGCGCTTGACTTCTGCCAAGGGTACATCGTCCTCAGCGTCTGGCGTCTTCTCGGACAGGAGCTCCCCTTCGGCGTCGCCAGGTCCCCCCTCGCTGGCCGCCGCCCTCTACATTGCCATGGCCATACGCCCTTACCAGCTGCCCCGCGAGAATCAGCGCGAGGAGCACACGAGCGTGCCCGCGAAGTTCATCTTGGCGGCCAGATCAGGCTGCGGGCCCGGAGAGATCATGGCCCGCAGTCTCTTCAGATGCGCGCTGGAAGTGGCGGCTCGCATATGCAGCTCAAGGCAGGCTGCCCCGCGGTTGTCGATCGCGGTATCCAGCAAGATAGAAGCGCCTGGGATGCGCTGGGACTACATGTAAATCGCGCCGCGGCCGCCATGCACCCCCTTGCCACAGCAACTTCCCGCCCTGATTGGAGCCTGGGCCCGCGACGGCAAAGAGCGCATCACTCTCGCCCACGCCAAAGTTAAGCGGAAGGCCGAATTCAGCGAAAGTGTCCAACACTGCTACCGATGCAATGGCGATGGCACCCTGCGCCCCCATGGTCGCGTCGACCCAGTGGAACGTGCCATCGGCAGAAAAGGCGACGCTGCGGCACGGGATGTCTAGCCAAGGATCACATGGGCGCGCCGACAGCAAACACGCCGAGATCTGCCTCTTCGAGGCGTTTCTCTTTCACGGCGATCGCCTCGGCCATAACTTGCTCGTAGATCTGGCCCTCCAGCCGCCCGGCATGGGCGATTTTGCGCGCGGCGCCACGTGGTTCGAGCCCTCGCAGACAGACCATGACGCCCGACGCAGGGGCACTGGACCCTGCGCTGCGAAGCAGTGGAGTACCGATGGTCAGTTTCCATTCGAGGACCTCGAGCGCCGATGGGGGGCACCTTGGCGGCGTTCGCCATGGGTCAGCGGGGTCTCTAGCACTAGCTTCCCGATCACGGCGCAGAAAGCATTTCGCGCGTCTATGACAGCCGCGGCGAAAGCCAACTTGAGCGCCGCCGCCTTCGTCTGCAGGAGCATCGAGATGACGGGCGCGCGCCAGGCGCCTCGCCCCCTCACTCCTCCGAGCTGCCCGTCGCCAACTGCCGCCTGCATGTTCTCTGCTGGGCGTGCTCGATAGAAGCGGGGCGCCCGCTTGCCCGACGTAGCAGCGACGGCGAAGCACCCGCGGTTGGCGCGCTCGCCCGCAGATTCCCCCTGCGGCGGCGCACGCAGAGGCCTCACCGCGCAGGCCCCTCGCCTGCGCAGGCGAACATGGCGGCGAGGCGGGCGGCGCGCCGCCGATCGATTTCGCCCGCGCGCGGAACAGCTCGCCGAGCAGCCCGTCCACCCTGACCGCCGAGCCCCCTGCGACCCTCGCGGTCTTTCTCCAGCTCGGCGAGCGACTCCCAGAAGCCGAAATTATGGATCCGCCCGTTGCCCACATCAAGCTGGGAAGTGCCGCGCGCTTGACTACGGGCAGGCACCTGGTCATCACGCGCCCCTGCGAGCCGATGCCCACGCCCCTGAGCCTCGCTGAAGCCACGGGAGCCTGGCTGGCCTCAGGCATCCTCGACGTCGCCTGCCACGCGCTCGCGCTGGCCCCATCGCGCCCAGGATCACAGGGCCCAGCAGCTTCCAACTCCGCGCGCCCAAGGCCCCACCGCGACTCTGTAGCGCAGCCGCCACCCAGAACAACGCGGGGAGCTATCGACCCCGGCTGCCACTGGCCTGCCGGATCCAATCCCAGGGCGCTCAAGTCGAAAGAAGCCCGTGGAAGAGGCGTGGATCTGGCCAGGCCCTGCTGGCCATAGGCTAAGAAACGCAACGCGCCTTCGTCCGCCTCGCCGCTCGCCCCGGCCGGGCCGACGCCCCTCGCCGTCGCCGCCGGCGCCTGGCCGCGCGACGGCCCCGCGGGGTTCGCGCCCGCAAGCGCCCCCGCCCTCCGCCCGCCGCCCCCCACACAAACACACACACACACACACACACACACACACACACACACACACACACACACACACACACACACACACACACACACACACACGATGGTCTGACCGCACCTCGCCACGCAAATCTGCCGCCCAGTGGAAGCGCCATGCTGCCATGCTCCGCGCGCGACGCAGGCGCGGGAGACCCGCCATACGCGGCGCGAGCCAATTTCTCTCTGCGCGGGGCGCCTCGCGCGGAGACCCCGCGCGGGGTGCGTCGGCGCAAAGGTCGCAGCCTTCTCTGGGTTGGCGAACGCGGCGATCGACCAGGCGCGCCAGCCCGCTTCGTTGGCCCTCGCGGCCTGAGGAGCGGCTGACAAGATGCCGGGGCGCGACCCGACCTCGCCTCCGCCCTCGACGTCGCAGCACGCCTCGGCAGGCGCCCCGGTGCCGAGCGGCCCCCAGGCAGCTCCGAGCAGCTCCGAGCAGCTCCCCGAGCTCTTGCGCCCCCTGGCGGCGGGCCAGCGCCGCCCCCCAGCCCGGCCGGGCACCGAGCTTTCTGCGCATCCGGAGGTGCTCGACCGAGGCCACCCTGCGTTGCCTGCTCGTGCCCCACGCCTCCTCGCACAGCTCCCCGGCCAGCCCCTCATGGAGCCGCCGCCCCTCGCCGCCTCAACCAAGCCGCTGCGCGCGGGCGGCTGCGGCGCGACCATCAGGCACGCGGTGCAACACTCCATCCACGACCTATGCAACGAACGCCTCCACGTCGTCCAACTGGGCGCCTTAGTTCGCCGCCCTGCTCGCCATGGCGCCGCAGAACCTGGTCTTCGCGGCGCCCGCCGCCAAGGGGGGCGGCGGCCTGCCCGCGTCGCAGGGCTCGCCCTCCTCAGCTTTCACGACGGAGGGGAATGCCGACGCGGCCCACGGCGCTGCTGCGCCAGGACGGAGTTGTCGACCTCCCCCCGTCCAAGCCGCCCACTGCGCTGCCACCGACGGCGCCCGTGATCTCCTCGTCGCCGAGCTCGCCGAGCTGCCTCCAGTCCGGCCCCTGCGACGCCTGGCCCAGCGCGCCGCCGAACACGGCGACGCCCTCGTCGCTGGAGTCGCCCGACCTGGCGCCGGCCCCTCTCCCACGCGGGGAAATCTGCTAAAAGCACCCACCCCCCACGGGAGTCGTCGCACTGCGATTTCTACGCCCCCGCGGCCACTGCACTACAATACGTGGGCCGCCGAGACTGACTGCCCCCAACAGGGCGGCCCTCGGCGAGAAAGATCGGCCCAGAGGGGCCAGCACCCTCTGGCAGCGGCGCAGCGCGCGCAGGCCGCTGAGCAGCGCATGCGCCCCGACCGCCCTGGGGGGCCGCAGCTGCAGCCCTCGCACCACCAACGCGGGCGCTCCCTTTTACCAGGCGGGCCGGCCAGCAACACATAATGGCTCGAACTATCGGCCCCAGCCCAGGGGCAGTCGGCGGTCGCAGGGCATGTAGGCTGACGAGGAAGGCGCAGGAAGTGTTCGCCCCCCTCCTCCCCGCCCGCCGCTGCACCCTGTGGGCGACGCAGTGAGCACTCGCCCCCCCCTCACCGATGGGGGCTGCGGCTGCCGCCGACTGGCCATGATGCCCCCTTTCGTACGCAGCGCGCCGCTCATCGCTAGCTGTCGCGGCGCCCATTTCATCTGGCGGGTTGACCTGCGGCGCCTCATCCTCTGCAACGCCAAGGGTAACTAACTGCCTTGGCCGGCAATCGGCCCCGGCGCCTTCACCTTCGAACTTGCGTCGGAACGGGCGCTGGTCCAATGCCATGGCCGCGCCCTCCAGCTGGCGGCCTGACTCCCTCGGCGCGAGCTGGGAGTTCACGACAGAGATGTGCGTTCTTTCCGCCCTCCACGCGCGCTGCCGCTGGCCCGCCCCGCGGTTCAGCCAGAGCCCCAGGTCTTTGGCACAGGCCCAAGCGACGTGCAGCCCGTGCAGCATGAGCTCCATCATGGCGCGCCTCACCGTCCGCGACCCCCCGAGGACCCTTACCCTGGCCCGGCACAGGCCTCGCGTCAAGGGAGGCCCCCGCGCGGGCATCGGTGCCACTGGCTCGACACGGCCCCCGCGCGGGCCCC